TATGGGCGGTAATCGGCAGGAGGCGGTCTCTCAGGTACCCAGGTCCAATGCCAGGTAGGGCTTTATAGGTAGCGACCAGCACCTTGAAGCGGATTTGGAGTGCAGCTCGCGGAGGATAGGTGTGACGTGGGTGTACCTAGGTGCACCCACAATCGCTCGCGCGGCTGCATTCTGGACTAACTGAAGTCTTCGAACACTCTTCAAGGGCAGCCCCATGTAGAGCGTGTTACAATAATCCAGTCTAATATAGCCTTGCCTGCTTGAGCAGCCCAGTTCCTAATAAGCCATGGACCCAGACTGGGGACTCCTGATCTAGGGAACAAAAACTAAATAATTGTTACACTAACAAAGAAAGAATCTATAAATTTAGTTTTGCTTCTTTGTTTGAACTTTTGGGCTGTTTCTTGTTTTCACATCCACTTGCAGCTGTTTTCTTTAAAAGTTGCACAAAAATGCAATTGCATCTTTGGGATGTTTTCTTTTTAATGGACACAATTTTGTATCTATCAATAGATGCTTTTATACCAAATCAGATTTTCTCAACTTGGAGCCCTTCAAATAATTTGAGTCCATAATTCAATTTCAAAAAGGGGACCTAAAAATAAATCACTTTCAATAAAGGGGAAAATAAAAATAAAAGGAAGAAGAAAAGCTGGTATGTCTTTGAATCAGTAGATGTTCTATTAGATGCCTTCAGGTAGAAAGCACTGAGAAAGTGCTAACCAGAAACAATTTCTATGACTGTTCATTTCTTGACTTACTCTTCATCCTGCAGATTCTCCTCTTCTTCCTGGATCTGGAAATGGTTCTTCACGGGAGCCAAGTTCTCTGTTTTGGCATTGTAATTCCGAAAGCAAATATTGAGCTTCTCGTCAAATTCATTGACCAAATCTTCCATGGACTTGAAGCTGATGATCTCAGAAGAGAAGTTCTCAAGCTCAGAAAGAGAAGGATCCTCCAAGTGCTGAGCTGAAGAGCCATAAAAATAATGAGCTTTCTCTTCCCTATCCGCTATGTAGCATGGCCTCAGATCTTCAAACTCTTCATCCAGGCTTACAAGAGGGGCTTCCATGTTGGATTGGCAAATGGAAGAAGGATGGCCTCTGCAAGAGAAGGAACATAAATGAGGCAATGGTAGTAGCCAGTCGATCCTGGCATCAACAGTAGAGCATTGGTTATGTCCCATTGCTTGGAGTAAAAATTACCCTAAGTTCCAACAAATCTGGGTTCATCTTTTTCAGGAAAACACTTTTATGCAAGAGTAGCAAAAAAGGACAAGCTTTTGCTTCCTGGCGTTTAGTTACCATAGAAGTTTTTGCTGCTGAAAATAGCAGGAGAAAAAGGAAGGAGAGAGACATTTTAAGAACCCCAATAAGATACCAAACACTTCTTGATAATACAATTTCTTCCTTGTTTATTACAACTGACCACCAAGCTTTTTAAAGCTTTCAGCACCAATCTAGGATATTCCTCTTCATCCAGTGCTTCGCTTAAAATGGTATTACTGTATCTTTCTAGCATTAGAGGTTTTAGAGAGGTTTTTTTAACATTTTCAAATAGTTTTTTTTTACCAAACTGTTATTTGTTTCCAACATACAGAAAATAGTTATGTGAGGGGGGGATTAATATCACCCTTCTTTGGAATCATGTTTAAGGATAATGGATAGAAATAAAAGAAGATTAAAATGTTACAATTTAATACTAAATAAAACAACTGATTCCAACAGCAGAAGAACTAATAATATCTAATCTCAACCAGCCATAGTTGGATCTCATGGTTAAAGCACCAAGAAAGTGGAGGACCGTGAGTTCTAGTCCCGCCTTAGGCATGAAAGCCAGCTGGGTGATTTTGGGGCCAGTCACTCTTTCTCAGCCCAACTCAATTCACAGGGATATTGTTTTGGGGAAAATAGAAAAAGGAAGATGTGTTGGATACGTCGGCTGCCTTCAGTTTTTGTCAAAATAATAAAGTTGAGATACAAATAGATACGTAAATAAAACTTAGAACAGAACAGAAGCAGCAGATGTATCAAAGAAGACAGGACGGTACCATGATTTTGAAAATAAAACTTCTTCTCACATTATACGGTATTTGCACACATTGTAAAGAAGGATCACAACAAAAGAATGGTGTGAGTCAGGGATAGAGAATTCCCACCTATAACTACCATATCTCTAACAGAGTAATATTCTGAACAGGAAGACTAATGTAACAATGGTTCTCTGAAATTATCCACCATAATTGCAATCAGCTCCTTTTGGTGAGGAACAGAAAGCTGAATATTTTGCTGAATATTCCCTTGAACCAGGCAGAATATTGCGGCAATTAAAGATAACAATACCCCCACACACACACACACACCACACCGCCCTGTCACAAAAAGGAAGAAGGAAAACGCTTGGGCAATTCTATATTTGAAAATAGCTTAATTATATTGAGCTAACGTCAAGAGTCAGATCCACCTTGGTGGCCAAAACGCCATCTTTTTTGACAAAATCAAAAAGGAAGAAGATTTATCCTCCCTCTGCAGCGATTCTCTGATGACTCAACCTCTCAGGTCCAAGGACATTGGGGGGGGGGGGGATCCAGCTCTAATTTAAGCAATTGAATGCATGTACAATTGAATATCCAGGGAAACCTGGCTTTCAAGCAAAGACAATGCTGCAATGTGAAGAGGCAGATTCACAAGCTGCCTTAATTGAAAAGTGTGATCTTGCCTATAATAATCCACCTTAAGAAAAGACCTTGCAGGAGCTGAGTTGCAGCTGCTTGATGCTGGCAGTAAAAACACAAATAATATTGGCTCTGAAGGTTCCCCTGCCAGCTAAACCCAGATTGCCTCCAAGCATTGGGCTTTGATTTGATAAATTTAGGGGGCAAAGGCAGGGGAAGGCTGAACCAATTTAATTTCCGAAGGGAACCATTAACTTATTTGAATATTGCCATCTAGCAGACGAATTCATCACGCCAGACACAGCCTGGGACGAAGGCAAAGTTCTGTAAACCAGAGCTTTTTTAAAAGGCTGCCTGCTGGGTCTGCTGGCTCCCTCCAGATTTCTTTGCTGATTGATGGATGGGAGCCTCGGCTCTTCCTTCTGGATTAAAATTGCTCTATTGTCACCACAGTCACTGCAAAGAAAAGGCATCGCGATTGGGCTGCAGATCTGTTGCTGTGACAACTCCCCCCTCTCTCCCCTCCCCAACCTTGGGGCACAAAGAAACAACTGTTGCTGCCATTTCGAGGATCTGCAGATGAATTGAAAGCATTCTGCAACTTTTTCGGGAAGCCGGGATCATTTCAGTAAGCAACTGATTGTCAGGTTGTGAAACTCGGACTGAAATCTATGAATTTCCCAGGGGTCTTCCTTACAGATCCTCTTTGGTAGTTTACACGCACTATTTAAAAAAAACAAATTTGGGGCGTTTGTGCTGTATTAATAGCCTGTGGTCATCTTTAGGAGGGGAGCATCAGCATGGGAAGGAAAAGAAGCAGTATTGTTTATCTCGGTGCAGGCATTGCATTTACCTTAGTCTCTCAGTGATGTGCGGTGAGCTTCATGGCCGGTGAGGCAAGCGTGAAAGCCCCACCGAAGCCCCGGTGCCGTGTCCGCCATAGAGCGGCACCCTCACCGGCCATGAAGTTCACCGCACGTCATCCCGATCAGGAGGCGGGAGAATCAGTGTCTCCTTTGCATATGAAAGTTTTTGCTTTTTAACCCTTTCTTAACTTTTAAAA